AAATACTGTTCAACCCATCACATTAACTAGTATTCAATTATTAGTCTCAAAAATACGTTCCAACAGTTAATAATTTGAATTTTTATATAAAAAAAGTTTAAATTTAAATCTCACTTTAAATGAAGAGTTTGATCAATAAAAAATTATTTTTATAATATCACCTATCATTAAAATATAAAAATTAATAAAAAAATTAAAATATACTCCTAATACACTAATATAAAAAAATTAAAAAAATTAATATTTTAAATACCAATATATCTTAAATTCTAGAAGAAAAGAAAAGAGAGAGATCACATGCGTGTCAAGAAAGGAACTCTCTTTAATCGCCGTGTTGAAATCTGATTGGCCCACGTAGGTGGGTATCGGGTAAACGGTTACACGTGGTGGGTTCGGGGCCTTCGGGCGGGGGAGGGGGAGAGGGTGATGAGATCTGACGGTAGAGATGAATTCATAGGGGTTTCAAAGCAATCCGTCACGCAGAATGGTATTTGTTGGGTCTGCCCGCCACGTGTTACGGGCAGTCTGCCCTAAAAAGGGTGAGCGTCCCTTAACGTAACAACAGCAGTCCTCCATGGAAGACGCATTTTAAAGCTCTGTGAACAGCGCGCGATCGACGCTTTTCTCCCAGTTTTCCTTTCTCGGATATTCCATGATTTTCAAAAGAGTTTTGATATCAGGATTTTGATGGTAGTAATAATCGGGTGGGTTTTGATGTTGAGATGTCGGATATGTGCTACGGTGTGGTGAGCGAAGGCGAGGAGCCGTCGACGGCATGCAAGCCGACCTCGAGGGCTGCGAGGAGGAGGAGAATGGAGATTAGAAGGGTCAAATTTGTTATCGGCGTCACCGAACCGGAGTCGGTGGTTGCGGAGGATAAATTCCATAAACGAACGAAACTAGACGACGGTGAGAACGAAACAAAAGGCGTGATGAGAAGAAGTCACTCTAGTCCATCGCTGTCGACACCTGTATTGAACCCATCGTTTAAACCCAAATTCGGCTTTTCGTCTCTGTGCGGAAGGAGGAGAGACATGGAGGACGCGATAGCCATCCATCCGTCGTTTCACCGCCAAGGTCAGGACTCCGTCACTTCTGATGAATTGCACTATTTTGGGGTCTACGATGGACACGGTTGCTCTCATGTACGGACTGTTCTATATTCCTCTTGAGAAATCATCAGCTATATATCGAATTCCTTTTTCAGTTTTAGTGATTTAGAAATTGAATTTTTGAGGTTTTTTTGAAGGTGGCGATGAGGTGCGGAGAGCGGTTACATGAGCTGGTAAAGGAAGAGCTAGGAGGCGACAGAGAGTGTGAGTGGAGGAGCATGATGGATCGAAGCTTCACGCGCATGGACAATGAGGTGATAAAGTGGAATGAAAGCGTGGTGGGGGCCAACTGCAGGTGCGAATTACAGTCCCCTGAGTGCGACGCCGTTGGATCTACAGCCATCGTCGCTATTGTAACGGCTGATAAGATCATCGTTGCCAACTGCGGCGATTCTAGGGCCGTCCTGTGTCGTAAAGGCAAGGCGGTTCCCCTATCGTCCGATCACAAGGTTAGCACACTTAAACCTCTTTATACCTTTTGTTCATCGAGATGCCACAGATCTGTTTGGTTGCTAAGAAAATGAGGGAAAAAAGCTCATGATTAATAATTGATTTAAGGCAAAATTTAATGACTTATTTAGGACAAAGAATCTCATGTGGATTAATTGATTTTTTCTTTTATTTTCATCGGAAGGTAGAGTAGTATATGCAGTTAACTTGCTAAGCTTTTGTTGGCAGAAATTTTGTGCTGCTTTTTCCTTTACTTTCCGGGAAACCAAACAGCAAATTCTAAGAAACTAAACTCATTAGATTATGCATCGGCTTATTGTGTCTTCACTTTCCAAGCATCATTCTCAAAACTACGAGATTGTTTGGGAAGAATGAAACAATTATTGTTATTGAGTTTGTTTTTCCTGATCGTTTTCGAGCTGACAGCCTGATCGTCCGGACGAACTTCAACGGATTCAAGCCGCCGGCGGCCGAGTTATCTACTGGGATGGTCCGCGGGTCCTCGGTGTCCTCGCCATGTCAAGAGCTATAGGTAACATGATGGTTATGATCTTTTTCTTTTTTTTTTTCCAATTTTTGCACTTTTATGGTTAATATATCGACGATGTAACAGGTGATAACTACTTGAAACCGTACGTGAGTTGCGAGCCGGAGGTGACAATCACGGAGCGGACGCCGGAGGACGACTGCTTGATACTAGCGAGTGACGGTTTGTGGGACGTGGTGTCTAACGATACTGCATGTGGGGTGGCACGGGTGTGCTTGAAGGGGAAGGGTGGTAAGAAGCAGGAGCCGTCGGTTTCACCAACAGGAAGCGAAGAGGAAGAGACGGCGGTGGGGTTTAGCGGAAGAAAGGGAGAGATCTCGGACAAGGCGTGCACTGAAGCGTCCCTGTTGCTGACAAAGCTGGCGTTGGCACGGCACAGCACGGACAACGTTAGCGTGGTCGTGGTGGACCTTAGAAAAGCCACGTAGAAATAGAAAATCATTTATCTCCCTTTTTCATTTTTTTTTTTTCAATTTAGGGTTAGTGTAACGGCCTAAAAAATTTAGGGTAAGTGTTAGTTTATTTGATTTGGCAATGACAAAGTTGGGCTTTTCTTCTTTTTTTTTTTTTTTTCTCTCTCTCTCTCTCTCTCTCTCTCTCTCTCTCTGTGTTATGTTCATTTGGGAAACAGGGAAGATGGTTAGGAAACACGGTCGGGAAGATGAAAGTGGGACAGCTTTCCTTTTTCTAGTTTTCTTCCTCCGCTTCAAAATGGTAAATATGGTTTTGCTATTCAAATTAACGAGGTCTATGGTACAATAGGAATAAATACCATAGATATTAAGCATGGAATTCACTTTTTGATTCTAGGGAAAGATATAAAATGTTGTATTACATCAAAATCAAAGGATATGGATCTGGGGTCAAGAAGGATTTGGAGGCATAAGGGAAAGATGCTCAAACAACAAATAAATTCAGATGAGTTTAGTGGGAGGCCTCGGACATAATGGAAAACCCGAATACATGTCAAATCGGGGACCTGAATCCGACCCAACTTCATTTTCACCACTATCAGTTGAACTTGAGAAGAGTTTTGAAATCAATCTGACAAAACGAATGCTGATTACAGTATCTCATTCACCATTTTGAGATCAAATAGACGAGACACAGAGAGGAATCTTCAAGATGGTTGATAAGAAATTAGCCTAGAATAGGACAGCAGCTTCATTCATGCAAGGAAAAGGGAGGATTGCAAAATGTACCAAAGAAATCTATCCAATGATTCCACATTATCACATCAACAACAATTAAACACAAAAAGGTGGGTTGCACACAAGATGAACCAGGGAGACCTTTTCCAGGATGCTCTAAATCAGGACTCCCTTCTTTCTTCTCATGCCTAGCTCATGAAAACGATTAGTCTATCTTTTATGTTTGCTTGCTGTCTTCTTCGACTCCCATTTTCTTCAGCGCCTTCAATTTTCTGTAACCCTTATCGGTACCAAATACCCTGGGAGAATATGCATGGTCATGAAACAATGGTCATTATGCCACTTTCTCCAACATTGTTAATTTCTATCATCAACATCAGCATTTCAGGTGATCATATTCTGTTATATATACACTCAATAACTATGCAACCAAGTTGGATAATAAAGAAGCGAATCAGAATAAAACGATGTTTGATATTTCAGAAGCAAGTCAGCGTTATTTAGCACCCAGTACTCACTACTCTGAATCGTATGCAGGCATCAAAATTGCATTATATAAAATGAGTAACAGGTGAAGTAACAGGTGAAGCAATAAGAACAAGAGACTTTGACAACAGAAAGCATCAGATTCTGAAAAAGAGCCACAAAGGAAAGCAAGGCACAAATTTTGCATTGAACATTCTTTTCCTTTAAAAAACCCATAACATGACTAAAGAACTAATGTTATGGACCATACCCAAGTCCAAAAACTTCACTTAAGTTAAGCATTTTTAAAATGACCAAATCATAGCTGGCACATAACAAACAATACCATGGAAATAAAATAGAAAATACATTAAAGGACTATAAGCACCAGGAAAGGGAAAAAATGACAGGAAAGAAGCTCGACATAAAACACGTCAATTTTTCAGGTGATCCCAGGTTGTCACTATAAGCATCAAAATGTACATTTCAAACATAAAAATAGGCCAAAGACTCAAGCAATAACAGCTAAAAACTCACCAGTCCATGTAAACAAATGTAGATGAATAGTTGCCAGATTTGGTATATAGCAAGCGGTGATGGTAGTCATGAAAATCAGCACTGGAGACAACGAAAATTTTATTAATTTAGAAATATCGGATAAATAATACCCAAAAAAATATTATGCAAATAAAAAAATAGCAACAGAAAATCCAAAACTTACCCTCCATAGAGAGGCAGAAAGTTTGAGAGGCTCCATGGGAAATGGTAGCCACAATGTGCCTCAACTGTCTCCAGGACTCTAAGCACCATCCACAACCAAAGAGTTATCAGATGTGGCCCAGTTATGGCAGGACCAATGATTGTAGCAAAGCCAAGGAACAATATCTCAGCAGGGTGTGCATACTCAGATGTCAGTCCAAATGGTGTAGCATATCTGTAAGAGGCAAAAAGCTAGTAAGCACATGAAATATTAATATAGATTATAGAAACAAAAAAAAAAAAATGTTCAGAATTTAACTCATCATGAGCCCCTAATGCCTAGAAACTTACTCATGGTGAACACTGTGCACATGTTTATACAACCATTTTGTATGTAAAACACGATGTCCCCAGTAAAAGACAAAATCCTCCAGGATGAAGTAGAATATTATCTGAGTTGAAACAACTTTCCTGCAGAACCAAATACCAACATTCTAACCATCAAATAGGAAAAGAAAAAATTCAAGACATTAACTGGAGCTCCTAGAAAGAGAACATCAGCACATTTAGATATAGATCCGTGAAAGAAATATTTCAAACGTAAAAGCTGCAAAAAAAGCTAGAGTTAAGCTACAGTATCTAGCAGGGGAAAGAAGACAAAAAATGCACTAGCTAGCGAATAAAGAACCTGAAAATACCAGGACGGCAATGGAAAACTACTTCGCATGCCCATGTATCTGAAGACAGGATAGGAGACAATCATAACTGGTAGATTGACACAAAAATGATAAAGCAACAGTCGAGTGATACATTTCTCCTGAGCAGCAAGGCTGTTGTTTTTTGTCTGCATAGAAACAGAAGTTAAGAATCACAATAGAATATGACCACTCATGCATGATATGACAGAACTAGTATCTTCATTTCATATTAGAGCATGCTATTAGAAACATAGTGAACAACAACACAGAGAAAATTAAATGTTCAATTCAATAGTATAAAACTGGGACATTCCCATTTTCAATAGGATAGCAGTTAAACCTGAATCTTGTACTTGCTCAGCAGCCCAGCCCTTTCCAGAAATATAAATGGAAGCCCAGACAAGAAAAATACACTTTCATGAAGCAAGAAACTTCCCAGACATGCCAGCTGGAAATCACTGAAATGTGTGATTAGGTACTGCATCATAAAGAGAGAATTTGGTTTCAGAGGATAATACTTCATAGCATGACAAGAACTACCATTACGAGCATATCAAGAACATAGCAAGATCAACAAATCTAATGAATTACGAGTCCAGAAAGAAATCAACATCAAATCAAACAGATTTTTCCTTCTTGGAAGAATTAGTTTCATCTCAAGCTAAGCATTCTTCGATCAGTTATTTCCCTAAATCAGCTACTGCAATCTTAAGCAAGCACTATTAAGTGGTACCCCGGACCGGGATTTGAAGCCTAAACCAATTCCATCCTTACGAACCATGAAAACCAAGAATGCAAATCATTTTCGTCAATACCAAATTGATTCATCAGGATAGGAGAAAAGAAAAACAAGAACACCCTTTACTCAATCCTAGCTCGAAATATCAACCATCAACGTCATCTAACGTCTAATGCAGCCCGAATGTCAGCACCCGTCACACTCGACAACGAAATTTGACGAATCAAAACAACCCCAGATGGTCAAAACGCATATCCATTTGGCTCAGTATCAGATAAACCCCAACCAGACGTAGACAGATCCAGAAGCATCAATGAAGAAGTAAAGAGATCAAACCCAAAAACAAGAAGCAAGAATAAAGCAGAAAAAAAAAAGGTACCCGCCAACCAGATTCCACAATCGAAGCCATGGGAGGTGCTGCGGCGGCTGATCTCCGAGGAAACCAACGGCAAGGAGCAGAGTGATTAAAATGTGGGAGTGTACAAGAGTGGAGAGTGAATATTGAGGAAGCAGAGCCACGAGATGAGACAGACTGTCAAAAAGGAATCTGGGTTTATTTTTATTGGGAGGGGCCCTTTTTTACTGATATTTGCCTAGGCTAAGACCATCTTACGTAGTCACGAGTGAAGGATTAAACCTGTTTGGTTAGTAGGAAAATGACCGAGAAAGGTAAATGAAAGAAGGAATAACCTCATCGCTGGCCCATGAACTATGTTGTTTAGCGCAATTGAGTTCCCTTACTCAAACTTACTTTTGTAACATAAGTCCCTAAATTACACAATCATTTCATTGAAAGGCAAAATCATTAATGAGGTTGTTTAATATAGTAGTTTAAAACTAAACATTAACAATTTCATTTGAGAGAAAGAATAAAACTAATTGAATTATTAATAATGACAATTATCAATTATCAAATTGGATGAAATTGCAAACCATTAATTTCATATTGTTATACCAAACAACCTCTAAAAATGGTGAGTTATTGATACACATAAAGTATTAATGTCCCCATAATGATTTGTGAGTTTTTGTATTTTCTTAATTTTCAAAGATTAATGTGCAGTAATCTTGACTCTAAAAAATAATTGAAGTTTAATCTACATTTAAAAACTGAAATCCCATCCTATTAAATGTTGATATATAAAATTAAAAACCCATTATATATTTTAATATATCAATATTTAATAAAATAATTTTTTAAATTCTGAATTAAGTTTTAATTAAATAAAATGATAAGGTTGGAACTCCAATTATTTTTAAAAATCGTAATTGATATACATTTTTTTCTAATTTTGATTTGTGAGTTTTTGAAAATATCATTCTCACTAAGTTTTATTTACTTATTAATAAGAATGTCAAAAGATTATACCCTCTCCATTTCAATTTATTTGTCACCCATTTTTAAAAAAATGGGTTTTTCAATCTACTAGTCAATTTTAATTTCAAACAAGACGTTAAATTCTTTTCTTTAATTGTCTCTGTTAAGGTTTTCTAATTAATTGTCACACTTCTTAGCTTCCTTATTAATTGAGTCTTGCATCAAAAAGTCAAAGAATGGTCAATATATAAAATTTTAATAGAAAAGGGACTATAAGTCTATATTGTAAAAAATTAGGTAAAAAAATATTTTAAAACTATGTTATTTTAATAAAATCTTGCTAAAAAAGATTAAAACATCTTAATTATTTTTAAAGTAGGGATGAAGATATTTTAATCTTTTCTCGTAGTATTTTATTAAAACGACATAATTTCAAAGTATTTTTTCACTTAATTTTTTATAAGGTTGACTGATAAACATTAATCTCAAATTTTAATCCATAATAGTTATATTTTTATGAATTTTTGTAATTTTACCTATAATGTCAAGAAAAAATGTCACAAATAAATTGAAATGAAAGGAGTATTTTGTGTGATGCAACATTTAAAAGATATAGTAATAATACCAACGACCTCTTGGTTCCAATGGAAAGAGTTCGATTTCTTTAAGTAAGATCTCAAGTTCAAGTTTTATGAATGGAAAAATAGGCTCTCGGAGATCTTTCTCCCGTATGGGGTTCGATGCAGCTTAATTTCAAATTAGTTGGGTCTGATATGACTATCGGATACCGAAGGGTTAGTACCAAGAAAAAAAAATATAGCGATAATCTCGTTCCATTAAGAGAGAGCAAGTATCTTTATCTCCTTGCTAACTTGGTTTGTTGAGAGGCTATGGTTTTGTTTGGGAAACTAATTTTACCAAAAAGTTGACTAAAAAAAATGGTTGGAAAAGTACTATACAAATATTTAAAAATTACTATAGAGAAAGTGAATAAATTTTGTAATAAAGTTTTATTGAAATTTTGTTAAGGGTGTTGTGTTTTATTGTTTAGAATAATCTAGATTGTAAAATACTTTTCATTTTGTTAAATTGTTAAAAAAAAATTTGTATTTGATAAGAAATTAACCTTAAATAACTTTTTATTTTTGGTACTAGATTCATAGCAGTTGAAATTCATATTAGAGCCATAACTAATTCAGAGTCGAGTCTCGTCAAAACTCATAAAAGAGAAACTCTTTTAGCACATGTGTCTTCATTCACAATATTTGAACTCGAAATCTTACTCAAGATAAACTAAGAGACTTATATTCGAACCAAGAAATCATTGTTATATAACATAATTTATTGATATCAAAGGAATTGTGACTTAGTTAATAAATGAATTTACTCCCTATCTTGTTAACCAAGATTTGATTATTTGGGAAGGTTAATGAGGGTTGAAGAGGTAATTTTTCATGAATTCCCTAGTTTCGATATAGATGGCATACCTTCAATCAAATTGGGGAGAAAATAGTCTTGAATTATATATAAACTAGCTTGGGAACACTCTAAAATATATATATATATATATTATTGATGAGAAACTTACATAAAAAAATTTAGTAAGAAAGTTATTATTTTTTGAAGAACATTTTTTCCTTTAAAAATTTGAGAAAAAAAAATTTATATATTGAGAATTATGTTAAGAAAATAAAAATTAAAAATATCACTTTTATCTTCATTTTGTTGTTATAGTATTAAGGTATAAAAATAAATAGATAACCTTATAAAAAAATTTAGAGAAAAATTTTTTGTCTCAACCAATTAGACACTAAAGAACTTTATAAACTCTGAATTTGTTCATAAAAATTTTAAACTTGAACATTATATCAACTTCTACATCAAATGAACAAGACCAATTAACAACTCTTTGCGGAGAGGAGTTAATAACCTACGGCCACTTGTTTTATATCATTAATTTTACCCTTTAACAATGTTGCAGTATGTTTCCCTTGTGATTGTGAAGAACTAAGATCCCATGTCAAAAAATATAGAAGGAAAGAATGGTTTAAATATATGAAGACCCATAGAACTACTAGGCTAGTCTTTTAATTCCAATGTGGTATCAAAAACATGTAATAGACTATTCAATGTTGCCTCGCTAAACTGTATGTCTCCCCAACAAATGGTATTAGAGCCATTGGCGTAGCATAGCCAGTGGTCATTTCGGTCTTGGATTGGGCTTAACAAAGTGAGAGTATATGTTCTGTAAAACCCATGAAGAGTATACCATGGATGATGTTGTGCCCATGGACCATGTTATGTACATATGTCAAACTATGTCATATATGTATGTAAAGAAAAAAAAAAGGATGAACTCTCAAGGTGCATTCACAACTCACAAGTGAAAGGAGAAGTGTTGAAATATGTTTCCCTTGTGAG